GGAATCTTGACATTCATAGGCAAATTGATGGAACTAGAAGAAACCATCCTGAGTGAGGTAACACAGTCACAAAAAAACAAACACAATATATACTCACTCATATATGATTTTTAGACATAGAACAAATGATTACCAGCCTACAATTAATACTACCACAAAAGCTGGAAACAAGGAGGACTCTAAGAGAGACAGACATTCATGGTCCCCTGGAGAAGGGGAAAGGTACAAGACCTCCCAAGCAAATTGAGAGCATGTGGACGGGAGATGGAGTTAGAGGGAAGAGATGGGGAGAAAAGGAGGGGAGAGGAGGACATGAGGGAGCAGGAAGATTGATTCATGGGAAGAATGGAGGATAGCAAGAAGAGATACCTTAATAGAAGGAGCCATTATAGGTTTGAAAGTGAAATCTGGCACTAGGGAAATATTCAGAGATCTACGAGGATGACACCAACTAACAATCTAAGCAATAATGGAGAAGTTACCATAAATGCTCTTGCCTAGCTTTCATCTACTAGCTGATGGAAACAAAAGCAAATACCCACAGCTAAACACTGAGCCGAACTCCTGGAATCCAGTTACAGAGAGGGAGGAGTGATGAGCAAAGATGTCAAGAACAGGCTGGAGAACCCCACATATACAACTGACCTGAACAAGTGGAAGTTCAGGGATTCCAGTCTGATAGTTGGGAAAACAGCATAGGACCAACCCAGATTCTCTGAATGTGGTATTAGTTAGCAGGACTGGGCAGTCTATGGGGCCTCTGGTAGTGGATCAGTATTTATCCCTAGTATACAAATGGATTTTGGGAGCTCATTCCAAATAAAGGGATACTCTCTCAGCCTAGAAACATGGGGGAGGGCCTGAGCCTTACTCCAAATGATATGACAGACAAGGAAGACTCTCCATGAAAAGCATCACCCTCCCTGGGGAGCAGAGAGGGGATGGGATGTTGTTTGGTGGGGGGAACAGAGGAGGAACAGATGGAGCTGGAGCAGGACCTGGAGTCCATATATAAAACAAGCTTGTTTTGAGAAATTTTTTTCAGGATAGCCAAGAAACCTTCAATATAAACATGATATTGTTTCAACTTCATTTTTACAGCTCAGTTGACTTTGCCAATAAACAGTCTTCATTATTTAGCTAAATAAAACACATGTAAATGCTATGATGTGGCCCATATCTGTAATTTTTTCCTTTGGGGGTAAATTTATTTAAACACTATATCCCCGACTCTGATTATTTACAATCTGTTTAACAGTTTAGAACACAATATTGATTTATGTGATTATTCAAATTGTTCAAATTGTTTTTCATGTTGTAACCCTGGAGAAACAGTGTTTAGTGGAAGAATCTAGTTCCTTCACAAGATCAATATAGGCAAATCCTGGAGTAGAGGATATAATTTCTAGGACCCACTCCTTACTGGAGATCTATTAGCAGAGGATAGTTTCTAGGGGAAAGAGAATCATTCTTTATTGGCTATGTAGCCATTTAAAGATTTTCTGTGTTCCAGCAGATGGCCTCATACCCATGAACATGTACCCAGCACTAACTGAACTTAGTATATTAACAAAATTAGAAGACATGAAGTTGGGAGGGATTATATTTTATATGGAAGCTTTAGGAGGAAATGGGACTCAATATGATATTTTACTGTGTAAATGTATGAAATTATCAACAATAAAAATTAATAACTTTAGATATCCACTAAGACAATTCTGTTCTATATTGAAGGAAAAATTTAAATTAAAACATAAATGTATAAAATAACCTTCTAGAAGCCAAGAGTGATCCCTAAGATATGTCAAGTAACAATCGTGATCCTTATAAATCAGAATTTCACTTAGTAGCTAAAGTTTGTAAAGATAAAGCCCTATTTAAACTCATAAACATACAGCTATTTGGCAGATATAAGGTAAATATGTAAATCTGTACCTCATTTGATATATAATAGAATCTATGATTCAATTGTAGTTTAAAATATATGTTTCATGGCAGATAAAAATCAGCAACAGAAGATAAAGATATAGAATGTAATGTCCTGCTCCATCTCATTCTTTTGCTAGAGTCATCATCTAACAAATAAGTATAGACAATTCTAACCTGTAATGCTCCCAAGTTGCTATGAAAATAAAATGTTGTACACTTAATTAACTGCTTCAAATATTATTTGCCTCTTGATAAAGTGCTGTGCTGCTTTGAGGTCATTGCTCATATTAAATAAAAGAAAAGCAACTGCCTGAATTTATTATATGATATACACATCATTAATATTTTCAATAATACTGTTTGAATCTTTCAGGAACATATCAGTCCTCATCTAACTTCATGCAGTGATTCTGGATATCTGGGACATTAAGCTGATTATGATGGATACTATTTTCCATTTACTAGCTGGTATTGGGTCAAAAAATGACATGAAAAATAATAGATACATGCTGTATCTCATTATCAACATTTTGGACAATGGAAATGACTATTCTCTGCTTTCAATTATCTCTAATTTTACCTCTCCAATGCTTCTTTTTTAAGTTATCATTCTTAATTTCTCAGTATCTGAAATAGAGGCATCAATAACATTTGAATATGATAAGGCCTATAACTTTGTAGGGCGCAAAAAAGATTCACTAGCTCAAAGAAAGATTTGCTAGGACACAAAACCTAATTACAGAGAGTTTATAAGAGTTCTCGGTCTTTATTAAAGGCACAACTATTATTTCCCTAGCTACTTTGCAATTGCACACTTTATTATTGACAAATTCAGAAGCTTAAGACAGTTATAAAGACTGCTTATTGACCACAACTCTGTCTCTAATAACTGTTCAAATTGTAAAGGATTAAACAAACTGCTCAATTCTATCTCTAATTCATGAGAATTAGTTCTCTTGATGAATTAAAACCCATTTGATTAATGGCTCCTTACAAATATATTCTTCTAAAATGACTTTCATGTCATAAATTGACAATCCTTCTATATTCTGAATTAAAAGCAATGTTAGTCTTTTATTTTTTGATTTGACATTAGACGTTAGTCACTATTGTTGAATTCACTGTTAATTATGATTTTGTGTGTACTATAAGACACTTTGGTAGTACAAAACACCTACAATTTATATACACAAATTATAATCTCTATGAAAAATATTACGAACTCAGTAAAAATTATGGAATAGTAGGATGAGTGTTGCAATATTAGTATATCATATGCTGTAGCAGTACCCAGATTCCTATCTCAGAAAATCTGAATGCATGTTTTAATCCCACATTTAACATAAAATTCCTCCTTGAGCATCCTAACCATTGTTTCTTCTGCTACATCAGAAGTTGTATCTGTAGCTGGAGAGATTATTGTTAAATGGATCAGAGCTAAGTTCAGTATCCAACACCCACATCTGGTGGTTCACAGCAATCTGAAATTCCAGCTCCAAGGAATCTAATTCCCTCTTAGGGCTCCATAGTACCTGCACACATGTGGCTTGCATACATACAGCCATATTTTTATCCTTAAAAAAGTTGCAAATACATTCTACCCTATAAAAGTGAAATTTTAGTGAAGCTTCTTTTGCCTCTTTTCTGTATTAAATAGATCAACCTTCTAAGCCTTAATATGGAGCAATGCAGTTGAGGAGCAAAATGAGAGGGAGAATGAGTAGAACATAATTATTACATGCATATATAAAATACCCAGTGATTAAATTAGTTTTGAAAATCTCCTTAATAGCAGGCATGAGAAGAAAAACACATTCTTCCACATGTTTTTCAGCACTCTAGGTTGAAAAGGTTTCACGAACACTGTTCAATGTATTGATCTACAATTTTCATGTGCCTAGCCTGTCCAAAGCCCTAAAATAAAGAAAGGCATTGTCGGCATATGAATACATGACCCACATAGGTCTGCTGTTGGCAGTAATAACTCATTTGTCTCTGATTATACCATTGGATGGGAGCTGAAGAAAAGAAAAGGCTTCTATTTTGCAGACACTTTAAAAAATTCTCATTACAAATATTTAAAATATAGCTTGTTAAATTATTTTAGCTATGTAAATAACTCCAAAACCAGATACTCACTGAAGTATCACAATGATGAATTAGAGAACCCTATTTCATAGATAAGGAAATTGAAGATCATAGAAATCTTCCTAATACCTGATATGCTAAATAAGGCACACGGCAAAAACTTCAAGCCGATCTTCTTATAGTGTAGTTCACAAAATGGAACTGATACTCAAAAAAATTAATACAGCTCTTCCTACCAATTTTACAGAAGTATCTAAGAAAAATACTGTTGCATCATAGTAAAATTTTATGAATATATATTTTCCTCTTTGTTGTCTTCATAGCTCAAATTATACTACTTCACAAGAGCCATAGTGATAAAGGAAAAGAAAGCATAATATAGAAAACACATTGCCTTAAGAACTGATGCCTATTTTCATCTATACAACTACATGGTATTCAGAAAGTAATTTAAATTTTCCATGAATCCTACAATATTCAGAGATAATCAGTTCCATCTTATAGATGGGAATGAATTCCAGCTATTTCTCCAACCTTGTGGAGTTAATAACTAAATGCATACATGCAGGTAATAATAATTGGTTAAAAAAGGTGCCATGGATTGAAGGGAGAGTGATAGGAGGTGTATAGGGGAGAGTTTCAAGGGAGGAAAGTAAAGGGAGAAATACTGCAATTAAATTATGATCGCAAAATAAAGGCTTGGACTTAGCACATTTTTTTTCTATGCAATATGATTTTATTAGCTTGGAAACAGCTTGAACCAAAAGATAATTAAAAATGGCCAAAAATATTTAAAAATAATAGTCATTTGTTCCTAACATGAATACTTTCAGCTGGACATTAAATTATTTAAAACATAGGGAATCCTAGTAAGGCAGGTGAGCACCCAGTGTTCCATCTGTGGGTACTCACGGGGTGTGGAATCTTGGTAGTATTGGGACCCTTCTTCCCTGTTGTTTTGGATGTTGTTCCAAAATAGGCAGTCCTAGAAACAAGACCAGCCACCTGTGTTGTCACTGCTCATTTTGTTGTCCTTCTGTGATGGAGGCTGGCATGGAACCCTGGCCCTTGTTGACATCACTGATGCACACCCACTGTCCATCCACAGATTCTTTCCACAGGGTCACCTTATTGTCTCCACCTGACACAGCCAGGATATTTGCTGTGATGGACCAGCTCACATGCCACACAACATCGTTGAACTTGTGCAGGAGTTTGGGTGACCACATATTGCCTGAGGCATCATCGCAGGTCCAAATAAACACTCGACCATCCTGAGAGCAGCTGGCAATGGTGCTGGTGGGCAGGCCAATGGAGGGGGCCCAGGCAACGTCTCGAACCCAGTCGCTGTGTGCCTCTAGCTTCTGCTCCTCCTTCCACTGGCCATCTTCTTCCTCCCTCCCCAGCTTGATGTGGTTGTCACAGCCACCTGATGCAAACTTCTTGATGTAATTGGGCTTCTGCCCTGATGGTTGGTCTATGAGGCTTCCAGGCACAACAGCAGGGGCCCAACTGACAGCATTACAGCCAATCGTGTGAGCATTGTTAATCTTCTTCACTTCCCACTGGCCTTCCCCTGTATAGGTCAGCAGGGAGATGACCCCATCGGAGCTCCCACAGGCTAAAATCAGGCCATAGTCGTGAGGGTCCCAGCATACAGAGTTCACTGAGGAGTCCTGAATGCTCATGAGTCTTCTCCCAAGTCCCGTTTTCCTCCTTCCAGATAATAACTTTCCGGTCATAGGAACAGGAAGCCAGTATATTGCCATACATGGGGTGGGCCCAGGCTACTTGCCATACTGGCCCCTCATGTCCTCTGAGGTCTGCAATGAGGATCTGCCCTCCATTTCGTACATCAAAGATTTTGACGGATCTGTCCGAAGAGCAGGTTGCTAGGCGGGTGCCATAATAGTCCATCTGGGCATCATGAATCATGTCCTCATGAGAGGTGTCCACGGTGTTGATCACTGACACCATAGCTGATGCAGCAGCAACTCACTGCTTCGGACGTGGCAGCACCCGCACATTTATTTATAATTGACAAAATTGTATATATTTATATTGTACTATTTATATATTCATTGTTGCTTATCTAATTCTATCTACTTAACATATCCATTACCTTGTCTTTTATCAATTTACTAGTGAAAATATTTAAATCCTATTCTCTGATTATAATTGGTCTAGGCATCAATCGATGATTGTAGCAGAATACTGTTAGAAATAATTTAATTGACACTTTTTGCTAGTACTATTTGCTTCCACCCTAGGTCTCTGATCTATCCATTCTCTGAGTCCTGGTGCTGCAGGAAGTGTTAGGTGGGCTTCTTCTTATGGCATGGGGTCTCAGCCTAGACCAGTCATTGGTTGGCCACTGCCACAATTCTGTACCATCTTTACCCCAGGACACTTTGTAGTCAATATAAATTGTAGGTCAAAGGTTTTATGGCTAGCTTGGAGTCCCAGGATCTCCATTGCTACCCTTGTCTGGTTATAGAAGATATCCAGTTGAGGTTCCCTATCATCCATTACTAGTAGTTCTTGCCAAGGTCATCCTGATATATTCCACTGCATCAGGCCTCTATATCATCCCTCCAAAGGGCTACCATTCTAGCCAACTCTCCTGGCGCTATGTCCATCCCTCTACCACCTGACTCCTCCAGCTCCCATCCCCACCTACCCCCAATCCACTCATAAAATCCCCTCCATTTGCCCTTTTCAGGGAGATTCATGCATCCCTCCTATCCTTTTTGTGTAATTCCTCTGGTCTGTAGATTGTGGTGTGGTTGTCCTTTACTTAATAGCTAGTATCCATTTATGAGTGAGTACAGTTAAGATTGTAGTGTGAGTCTCTGATCCCCACCAACGGTCCTCTGATGGAGCTCTAGGCCCCTGCCAAAGATCAGCCTATCCCCGCAAGAGTATCCTGAGTCCCTGCGTGCCTTTGTCCCCCATCCTGGGATTCTGCTAGAGGTGAGTCTGGGAAGAGTTTGGGTTGAATACCCCCCCACACCCTTCCCTGGGAACTTCCTGGATTGGCCCTGAATCTCGTTCCCTCTGTGTACTGTCCCCAGGAAGAGAGCTCCTGGTGCTCTGATACACAACCACCCCCACCCAGAATCTGCCCTCCCCCCACCCTGTGCCCTATCTAGCCCACTGCCCAAATGCTCCAGTTGAGCAGTGGAACAGAGGGCAGATCCAACAATCCTGCCACCTCCAGGCAACTTCCTAGAAGTGCTCTGAGCACACTAGACCCACCTATCCAACTGAGACCACCCTGATTCCCCTGGCTACCTGGTCTTTGATCCCCATAGCCAGGCCTCTGCAAGAGTAACAGGCCTCTGCCAAATACCTGTCTCTCCACGAGGGAACACCCTGAGTCTCTGCTTGTCTGATCTCTGACCCTCATTGCCAGGCCTCTGCCAGATGGAACTTCCTAGATCTGTTCTCCGCACACTATACCCACTATTCATACCGGACCACCCTGAATCCCTGCCTGCCTGGTCTTTGATCCAATCCCCGTGTCTCTGCTAGAGGACCTCCCTGAATCCCTGCCTACCTGATCATTGACCCACATTTGACAGGCCCTTGCCTGACGAGAGACCTCCTAGAGATCTTGGACCACCCAGAGATACAGACATCAAACATCTGACCCACCTAAGCCCACTTGAGGAGTACCGAAGAAAGAGAGAGAGAGAGAGAGAGAGAGAGAGAGAGAGAGAGAGAGAGAGAGAGAGAGAGAACAATGGAATCTTGAAATTTGCAGACAAATGGATAGAACTTGAAACCATCATGAATGAGGTAACCCAGTCACAAAAAGAAGAACATAGTATGTACTCACACATATATGAATTTTAGACACAGAGCATAGGATCACTAACCCTGAATTCACACTGCCAAAGAAACTAGGATTCAATGAGGAACCTAAGAGATTCATAGAAGGTCCCTCACATAAAGGGAGAGGAACAAGATCTCCTTAGCCTATTGGGAGTGGGGTGCAGTGATTGGAGAGGGAGCTAGGAGAAAGAGAAGGGGAGGAGAGGAAAGCACCTGGGAGTAGGAAGATTGAGTCAGGGGAGGAATAGAGAGAAAAAAAGAGAGAGATACCATAAAAGAGGGAGCCATTATAGGTTTGAAGAGAAAACTGACTCTAGAGAAATGTCCAGAGACCTACAAGGCTGACCCCACCTAATAATTTGAGCAACAGTGGAGTGGCTACCTTAAATGCCCTTCCCTGATAATGAGATTGATGACAAACTTATTCACCATCATAGAGCCCTAATCTAGTAGCTGATGGAAACAGAAGCAGACACTGACAGCTAATCACTAAGCTGAACTGGAATCCAGATGCAGAGAGGGAGGAGTGATAAGAAAATGGGGACAAGACCATGCTGTGGAAACCTGTCGAGACAGGTACCAAGCAGAGCTCGTGGACCTCCAGACTGATAGCAGGGAATCAAGCATTGGTCCGACTCAGACCCCCTGAACATTAGTCTCAGTTAGAAGGCCTAAGCAGTTTAAGAAACCTCTGACAATGCAATGAGGATGCATCCCTGATGCACAAAAGGACTTTGGGAGCACATTCCCCATGGAGCGATACTCCCTTAACCTAGACACAGGAGGGAGGGCCTAGACTCTACTCCAAATGACTTGACTGATTTTGCTGACTTCTCCTGGAAGGCACCACCCTCCCTGTGGAGTTGGGGGTTGTGATGGGAGTGTGGTTGGTGGGTATGGGAGGGAGGGAGAGAGGAAAGGAAGGAGAGGGAACTGGGATCGATATGTAAAATAAGAAAAATAAATAAATATAAATTACTCCTAATGACCTTCTGCTATCTATATTCATAGATCAGTGCTTTACTTAGCCATCATCTGATGGAGAAGATAGGAAAAAATACACAGACCCAAAGTCAGAAAAATACACAAATAGTGATAAACCTTTGAAAAGTCATCTCTACATGGAATGTCTTCTTCAAATCCTCTACTTAAGTGGAGATTGAAGGAGTATAAGAATAGATGTAATGGAGGACACCAAGAAAACAAAACCCTCCAAAAGAATATGATCAAATCTCAAATGAACTCACAGAGACTGAAGAAGTGATCACAGGATCTGCAGGGGTCTGCACCAGGTCCTCGGCATATGTTTTATGGTTTAGTGTCTTTATGGGAATCATGAGTGTGTGAATGAGTGGGCCTCTGATTCTTGGGCCTTCTTTTGGGCGCTTTTCCTTCTTTTTGTCCAATTCTAATGTGTTAGGTGGTGTTTTATAGTTTTATATTATCCCTTAGAAGCCTGTTTGTTTCTTAATGAGAGATAGAAAGGAGAAAGGAGTAGATCTGGATGGGAAGGGAGGTGGGAAGGAACTAAGAGGAGTAGAGGGAGGGGAAACCATAATTAGGATGTACTATGTGAGAAAAAAATCTATTTTCAGTAAAAGGGGGGTAAGTATAATACAAAAACAAGTAAAAGAAAAATCAAAAGAAAAGTAGAAAAAGAAGAGGAGGAAGAGAAGGAAGAGGAAGAAGACCTAACCTATTGTGGGTAATTCCATTCTTTCAGCAGGTCGTCCTGAACCACACAAGAAGGAAAAAGCAAGAAAACAACAGCATGGCTATATTCATTTCTTTCTGCTTCTAGATTTAACAACATGCATCGAGTTCTTGCCATCTTGACTTCCTTTCAATGATGGATTGTGACTGAAAATCGTAAGTCAAATAAATCCTCTGGGTTACTTTGGGTCAGTGTTTTATCACAGCAACAGAAATGAAACTAGAATATTTGGCTTATTTCCCATCCATGTAGCACATCAAGTTCTTGTTCATGTTCTTCTTTAGAGCTGAATATTATTCCACTGTTATTATTTTATCTACTATTTCCCTGTGGTGGTTTGAATGAGAATCCTTCCCATAGGCTCTGTTAATTGAACTTTGGCCCCAAGTACAGGGCACACTTTGAGTATATTTAGGAGGTGTGGCCTTGCTGGTAGTAGTATGAAACTGGGGGTAGGCCTTTAGGTTTCCAAAACCCTATATCATTTCAAGTTCACTCTCTGGGCTTCCTAATTAAGGTTCAAGATATCATCTCTTAACTCTTAGCTTCCAGCTCCGGCTGCTATGTCATCTGCCTGCTGCTAAGCTGTCTCCTCCATTATTGACCCTAACCCTCTGAAATCATATATATATATATTATCCATATCAATATATATATATATATATATATATATATATATATATTATCCAGGTGTTTTGCTCATTTTAATTGCTAGAGAATCAAATCTATTTTATAATTCTATGTGTCTTCCTACATGTGTCCTCCTACATTAGTTCCTTCCTCGCTGCTGTATCAAAACACCTGAGATAAGTAGCTTGGGGATTAATGATTTATTTTGGCTAACTGTTTCAGTTGGTCCCATTACATAAGCTGCCAGGATACCGACAGGTCTAAATGTTGGAATTCAGTTCACTACCTACTTTTATTTAGTCTAGGAATATAGCCCACAATATGGTGCTGCAAATTCAGGGCAAATTATTCTATCTCATTCAAACCTTTCTAAAAAAAAAAAAAAAAAAAAAACCCTCAGATCCACCAAGAATTATGTTTGTGTTGATTGTAAATCAAAACAAATTGATAGGATTTTTCATGATACTGCTTTGATAGTTTGTATTTTCTCACATATCAGAGATTGTCTCATTATTTTATTGACAGTTATACTGCTTTATGTTTTGCTTTGTTTTGTTTCTGGTTTTGTTCTTGTTTTTTATTTTTAGTTGATATCTCATCTTTGTTATGGTTGATTGGGCTTTGAGGATCCTGGTTTAGAGATTTCCCCCTGTGGTTTTTCTAGTAACTTTACAATTTAAATACCATATGTTGTTATAGCTTCAATATATGATGATCCTCATGGATCCTCATGGGCTCATGCTGTTAACATCTGGTATAGAGCTATTTTGGGGAACTATTCTGAAAGAATTGACTGTGAAAAGTATTTTTCTAGGGTCCTTGTACTTGGGGA